CGGAAATTTAGGGGGTTTTGCCCCCCCCCCCCCCAGGGGAAAAAGTGAATTTCCGCCACTGTTTGCTTGGCTGTTCTTTTGCTGTACTCTTTGACTTAGGATGTACAAGTCACTGTGCGTGTGGTATTAGATATTAGACAATTCTTTCTTTTTTTATTTTTATTTTTTGCCCTCCCGCCCTTTAGTATTGGCGAGCAAAATCAGTAATCCAACAAAAAAAAAGCGTGCATGCCTTACCTAGACACAACTCACAAGTTAATTTAAAACAATATTATTGTCTGCGGGCCTGTATTTTCTCAACCTTTTTAGTGCTTTTACTGTTACAGCTGTTGATTGAAGTATACGAAATTGAATCTGGCAGGGTGGTTTGACGGAGTGAGGAACCAAGTCAGACTCCATTTTCCCCCCAGCATGCCATGGGGAGGGGGGACTGTCAGCAACTCTTTATACGGCAGCACTTTATACACAGCATTAGATTTGCTAAGACCTAGGATATTTATTCGGCTGGCTTACGGGCAGGTTTGGTCATCTTTGGGCTAAGGCCGAATAGCGCTATCACTCAGAATAGTGCTATTTTCAAGCTTTCGGCCTTAAAAATATTGGTATAATCCAGATTGATCCTTAGTATTTAAAATCAAAGTTTTGCTTCACTAACTGCAAAATCCATATCACTGGTTTTATAGCTTTTCAAACATTTTCACAAAGGTGGAAAAAATTACTTATCTGATGGATATAGTGCTATCCGGCCTTCGTGCAACCGCCCCCAGATTGCAACACTCGTGATTTGTACGCTATCCAAGCTGGATTTTACACACGACTTCAATGACGAACGTAGAATCAAATTTTGAGACAAGAAAATAGCATCGTCTCTGTATTTGAGGACAATGGCTTAAAAGCCCTTTATCTTGTTACTGATTACAAAATTATATACAGGTCTTTCATATTACGGATATACACTGTATGATTTCGAAAATGCGTCACGCCCTGCTACAAGAAAAAGGGCTTTAATTATTAAACCCAATATTTCAATCATGGATATCGGAAACGAGGCTCTATAGCCAAGACTGAGTACTTTTTGGAAGGGTGTATTATAGCGATTTATGATATGGCAAGCATCACTTCCGGTGAAACGGCGGACTGTGATTGGCTGAGAAGCACTTTCAACGGTCCATTATTTTCCCGTAATGGACCGGAAACAAACGCATGCATTTTAAACCAAAACAGCAAAACTAATAAACTTTTTATTAACCTCGCTTGCTCGGTCTCAACAGAGAAATATGGGACCTCGGTCTTTTTGTACAAACCTCGCACTAACTTTGTGATCCGAAATTAATTGATCAGAAACCAACAACTAAAGCAATTTATACTGCCCAGTAGTATTAAATTAACTATAAAAACATTTTATGACTAAACTAAGTTCTATTTTGTAGTAATATTTTGACTCATTTTGACCTAATTCGCAACATAATAATAGTGTTGCTTCAAACTTTATGATAAAAACCCCGATTTTCTAGGCGTGTATACAAATAAAAATAGTAAGTTTATACTATAAATGAGTTTATTTTACCTGTATCGGTTTAAATTCGCTGTTAAGTTGCAAATAATTTTGTTTGAGAACGCAATAATTGGGCATTTCGCAACCAGGGCAGTTTCAGGGCAGTTTTGACCTTGTTGTTGGGAAATCCACTAGGCCTTTTATTTTTTCGCTTGCGCATCCTCTGCCCCGCCCCCAAGGCCCCAAATCACCTAGTCCCAGTCTTTTCATATGAAAAAGTGCTGAATATAAAAAAATAATAATAAAAATAGAAGGCCTAGGTCTAGGCTGGCATCACCCCATGGAAAACCTGCACCACTCCTTGCAGATGTGGCTAGATCCAGCCCTGGTTTTCACCTAATACATAGTGATATAGATATATACACAACCTGATAAGTGTGTTGACTTTAGCGACATCAACATCATAGAGTTTCTTGACGGCACCCTTGATCTTCGGCTTGTTGGCTCGGACATCGACAATGAACACAAGCGTGTTATTGTCTTCGATCTTCTTCATCGCAGACTCTGTCGTGAGAGGATGCTTGATGATCGCAAACTGGTCGAGCTTGTTCGTTCGTGGGATCGACACTCGAGGATATTTAGGTTGTCGCGGCAACTTCAAGGTTTTGGGAAGATGGAACTGTACCGATGTGCGCACCTTTCGTTTTGCAGTTGACTTAACACCTTTCATTACAGCTTTCCTTGCCTTGTTTGCTGTATTCTTTTCTGCGGCTTTAGCGCCACCTTTGCCTTTTTGAGCTAAACGTAAGGGAAGATCAAAAAAGCTTATGCAAAGGTGGCTTACACACACAGGGCACAAAATAACAGTAGACCAACAATCGACAGGAAATTGCTTTTGATTGGCAGAGAAGCAAGGTTGCTGATCATCTTGATTGTCAAGAACCATAGTCTCAAAAACACAGTTAATGTCATTAACGAACACCATGCAATACTTATTACTATTAGAGAGGTTAAGATACCCCAGTTTTGGTGTATGGGTACGAGTAGTGTCATCTTGTTTTACTGATGTCTGTAATTCGATCATACTTTTTGTTTTCTTGCAATAGACAATGATATAATGCGAAAAATGTGCACCTTAATTACGAGTAAAGGTACAGACATCGACAAAAATATTGCTAACCAAAATCATGCTACCCGTACACCGAAATCGGGGTATCTTAACCTCTCTATTATCACAGAACATATAAAAAGAATGTATCCTATACTGATCAGTCAGATTTTCATTTGATCAGCAGAAAATCATGACTGCTGATCACCATGACCGGGAACTTTGGAAACGCTATTATATAAGTGAAGTGTCTAGTTTATGATATTTTTGTTCTGGAGGTTTCGTGTAAATTGAATCATGATATTGATACCATTTAAATTTTAATACTAGCACTGTAGCACACACGTGTACTGATATTTCACATTTTTACTCATAAACAACCCCGATTTATTTGTCATCTTTTTAGATTCAATGGCTAGATTTTATTAAAAAGATGCAGGGAGATGTTAGGATTTCATATATAAACGTAAAATATCTGTACATGTGATTATATTGAAGTATTTTTCCTATTTTTCAAAAGATACCTTGTTCCTTTTTAGGGGCCATGTTGGTTCGAAAAGAGAGAGAAATCAGGGAAGGCCCGAGCAAATATCAGGGGTTCACAGAAGCCGAAGGTGATCCGATGATGCACGATGTACTTTTGGGTGATGGTATTCGAGCACGGTAATGCTTCCACTTGAAAGTAATTTTTATTCAAAATGAAATTCAAAGGGAGCCAAAAATTGCTTTCTCTAGCTAAAGGGATAAAAGTGCCTTCTCTAAGACTCTAAAGCCTGGTTCACACGATGAAATAAGCATAAGCAAGCGGAACCTTTGATGTAAGCATAAGTATAAACATAAGAAGAACAAATGTTGCGTTCTTCTTGCTTATTTCATCGTGTGAACCAGGCTTAAGTCTCACTTCTGCCACACCAACCTAATGCCTCCTAGATCCTCATACCCTTGTAAAAATCTCACATCTTGTAGCAAGTCTGCCAACAAGCCGTCAACAAGTTGTGTTCGCACTGCTTGTCCCAAGTTGTCAACTAATTTGGAATAAGCTGTTAACTGACAACTTGTAACAACCTTGTTGATATTATCAGACTTGTTTGAAGGTTGTTAGAACAGGTCCGATACAGTCATGATATAACAATATTGTTACAACCTTGTGTCGTCAACCTTGTAACATTTTGGTTGTCAGACTTGTTAGAACAACCTTGTAACAAGTCTGATAATGCCATCAAGCTTGTGAACAGCCCGTTCCACTGAAACTTGTTACAACAACTGGTAACAAGCAGTGCGAACACAACTTGTCGACAGCTTGTGAACAGATTTGTAACAACTTGTTTAGTTGTTTGCACTTTGCAGATCTGGGACGTCCCAATCCCATTTCCCACCTGAAATTTTGGCAAAATCCCAGTCCCAGTTGGATTTTTATTAGAAATCCCAGTCCGAGTTATTGAAATCCCAGTCAATAAAAATCGAAATCCCATTTTCCCAGTCTAAAATTAGATCAATCCCAGTTCCCATTTTACCCCTTCAGGGCCCTCTGGGACAACTTGTGCGGCGTTTTTACGTGTGTAGTGCATGGGGAAGGTGCAAAACTACACACGTAAAATGCACAATTTGTAACCGAAACCTGCAGCAATGCTATTCCAACAACATGCCATCAGGATGTGTTCGCACTGCTTGTTCCCAGCTTGTTGAATCAACAACTTGTTGACAACTTGCTACAAGGTTGTTGAGCTCAACAGACTTGTTACAAGTTGTTCCAACAACTTGCTATCGTCCTGCAATTCAACAACTTGTAAACAAGTTGTGAGTGAGAACTTTGTAGCAACTTGATAAAATGACAGCATTGTTACAACTTGTTGACAAGTTTACCACATCTTGTTGACAACTGACAAGTCGTGAGATTTTTTTTCTTTGAAGTTTGACCTAATACTGTTGTTAGTCGTGATTAATAAAATAAAAAACTGAATGTGTTTTGGGTACACGCGTAAAAATGTTAATCTCACATCTTGTAGCAAGTTTGTCAACAAGCCGTCAACAAGTTGTGTTCGCACTGCTTGTCCCAAGTTGTCAACAAGTTTGGAACAAGCTGTTAACAACTTGTAACAACCTTGTTGATATTATCAGGCTTGTTACAAGTCCGGTACAGTCATGATGTAACAATATTCTTACAACCTTGTATGGTCAACCTTGTAACATTCTTGTTATATCATGACTGTATCAGACTTGTCAGAACAACCTTCTAACAAGTGTGATAATACCATCAAGCTTGTTACAAGTTGTTACAACTTTAATACAACAACTGGGAACAAACAGTGCGAAGACAACTTGTGAACCGATTTGTAACAACTTGTTTGCAGACTTGTAACAACTTGTGCGTTTTTACGCATGTGTAGTTAGGGAATAGATTATAGTTTCAAGGCCAACATACTGTGACCCAGAGCAGTGAATCGGTGGTCTGAGGAAATTTGCTTCACTAAAGTGGAAGCACGGATCAAACGATCATCGGATTCGGGTGTTTTCTAAAAATTTCTTCCAGAAAAAAACAGTTGCACAAACAAACAAGTGTAAATTTTGTGCAATATTTTGCATTTCTCTGCAGAAAATGAGCGAAATTGTCGATGCCAAGCTGCTTATAGAGCAAGGAGACGTCGTGGGGGTTTTAAAAGCGAAATATTTTGCGATTAAAGAAGCGATTTCTGACGCCGAAGAGCGACATACAAAAGCAGTTGCTGGGCTCAACGAACCGAAGGCGAAACTCGTGAAAGCTTTGCACGAAGCGGAACTGTTAGAAGCGCGAATTGCGAAAACAAAAGAGAGCATTCGCGTGAAGAAAGAAGCGTTAAGCGAAGTTAAAGAAGATTTAGGCGAAGCAAATGAGGAGATACAAGAAAATAAGGTTGGGTTTCAAATTTTTGTTTATTAATTATTAAGTTTCGAGGGAGTGGAGCAGGGCCACAGCGACAAACAGATTTTGTCTCGCAATTGGGGATTTGTTTCTCGAAGGGTATTTTAGTAAACAGGCTAGCGAATAATCTGCAATTATGAGATAACTTGATCCAAAACAATCACTATTCTGTGGCGGTTTGGGGAAAAAGTCTGTAATTCCGGGACAGGAATTGAACCTACAGCCCTGCGATTCCGGTACTTGTGCTCTAACCAACTGAGCTACAGAGTCCAGTTGTACCGCAAGTTCATGTATATACACTAAGGTGTAAAAAAATACCTGTGGTTCCGGTTTCATAACGTGAAAAATTAAGGTCGGTCATGGTTTTGGTGGTTTTTTGCTGGGCGATTTGCAGTAGAGTCCCGACATCAATATTAACTAGAGATGCGTATTTCCTGTGGACGAATTTAGGCAATTTGGTTCAATAATTTAATTTAAAAAGTATTTATATTGCACTAAAACTATAAATATTGGGTTGCAGGTGTGACAACGGACACCATTTTGGCATGCTGTATGAGCAGCCTGCAACCACCTGGAGAAAATAGGGTCGTACGGTCAATCGCGTGGAAAAAATAATAGGGTCGGCAGAAAAAAATAGGGTCGGTCGGGAACCACATGTATTTTTTTTACGCCTAAGGTGACGTTATTCAGCAGTTAGAGCTTGACAACCGGACTCTATAGCTCTCTTAGAACTCTTAAGAGTGCCACACCAGAATCGCAGAGCCGTAGGTTCAATTCCTGCCACAGGGTCTATTTCTACAACAGCTCCCAGTGGTTAGGTCTAAAATTATATATAATCTTTCTCTACAAAAATCCTTACATCCAAAATACTGTCAAATCCCAAACCAAATGTGTTGTTGTGCTTCCATTTTCAAGATTAAAATTTCTATAAAATTTTTAAGGAAATTTGCAAATCCAGGTAACACCTGCACCATATTTGGCCATCAAAACAACTGCAAACTGCTCTAATTCTTTCCGTCACTTTCATTTGATCTCATGATCTGTGAGTCTGCCTCAACAGCCTTTGATCTTAGTTGGCTGTTGCAATGTCCAGGGTTCATAATTATGACTGAGTATGTGCCCAAAAATTCATTTTACCTTTAATCCATTGATTGCCAGCACTCTTCTCGTGACAGGTAAAGTTGTCTGGCATTAGACAGAGTAACATAACAAAGAGTGTATTGTTGTGCAATGCATTAAGTTGTTGTTAACCCATTAAGTTATGCCCCACCCTATTATTTACTTTGTCTAATACCAGATGATTTTATCAATGTACTTCTGTATCTTAGGGATGGAGAGCACAATTCAAGGAACGCGAAAGCACCAGAGTAGAACAGCTCGAAGTGTTGGAAGACAAATGCAAAGATGCGAAAGAACTCCTCTTTGAAAACAACCGAAAATTTAGTGAAGCGACCCGATTGTTGGCCATGAGAGAATTCGACATCGAAGCGGTAATAAATCGTAGGAATGAGGCTCTCGAAGATATCAAGGAACACGAAGAAATGCAGAAACAGAGCGCCGCACAAATGATACATGTCGAGAAAAAAGGAGGCAAGACCGCTGAACGAAAGTTGGAAAAGGAGCAACGGATCGAAGCGATGGCCAGTCAGATTGAGACGACAGATGATCTAACGGAGGATGCGTTAAGAAGCATCTCAAAGTTGGAATTGAAACGCGAGTATATATTGGATCAGATCAACTACTGGCACGAGAAGACAAAAAAACTGAATGATGAAGTGGATAGAATGAATCAAGAGGACTGGGTTTCTTATTAAGACAAAACTAACGTTACTATGAAATATTGTTTTCCATGCGTGTAAATAACTAGCATTTCACATATTCTTCAAGGTCTGAGCAAACTTTGCATAAAATTGCAAAAGAATATTCTGATGGTTATGGAGATCCAATATGACTTGTAAATTACCAACCTCGTATCCATATAAATAAACCTCGTACACACGTAAAAATATCACATTTTGTAGCAAGTCTGCCAACAAGCCATCAACAAGTTGTGCTGCCAACAAGTTTGGAACAAGCTGTTAACAACTTGTAACAACCTTGATATTATCAGACTTGTTCCAATAAGTCCGAACAGTCATGGTATAACAATATTGTTACAACCTTGTGTCGTCAACCTTGTAACATTCTTGTTATATCATGACTGTATCGGACTTGTTAGAACAAACTTGTAACAAGTCTGATAACATGCCATCAAGCATGTTACAAGTTGTTAACAGCTTGTTGTAAACTTGCTACAACAACTGGGAACAAGCAGTGCGAACACAACTTGTCGACAGCCTGTGAATAGATTTGTAACAACTTGTTTGCAGACCTGTAACAATTTGTGCTTTTTTATGTGTGTAACCCTCGTTCCGCTATGTTTAGGTTGGAATAGTTCTATGGAAAACAATATTCTAGTTAGATCTATCTAGTTATTCAAAATGTTTAGGAACGAACTTTCTCTAAGCCTCATGTTAATAGTATATTTGTGTTCAATATATAGACCACAGTAAGACTTTTTTTGTAATCTTAACTACCTGAAGATGGAGTAAATCTCCGAAACGTCGTTTGTTAATGTAATAAGCACGTTTAAAAAAGTCTTACTGTGGTCTATATATTGAACACAAAATATCTAGTTATTGTAATTCATTCTTTAGGTAGTGACATTTAAGTAATATATTACCTTTGTAAATTATTTCTCTGGAAATTGTAGGTAAAGTGATAAAGTCTATTAAAATATTGTACTTGTAGTGGCTGTGATCATTGATTTGCAACACTTTCCCCTGAATTCATTGCGGTTATAACAAGTGGCAAGAAATGTACGCACGTAAAAACGCACACGTTGTTACAGGTCTGCAAACAAGTTGTTACAAATCTGTTCACAAACTGTCGACAAGTTGTCTAGATAGATATAGATATCTTATATCCACTAGATAATGCATCTAATTATTCTGCAATTCAAAAATTGAAGCCGTGATTGCAGACTCAGGATATTCCCATGAAATGAGAAGACTCGAATGTTTTCTATTTCTTAAACAGGGAACTTAGACATTAAGTTAAACCTATTCCAAATACATTTTCCAACTATTCAAATGATGAAAGTTATTGTTGTTTTTAAGCGTTTATTAGCTAGTGGGAAACTCCACATGGCCGACATCTATATTCAAATGGGGGTTACCGCTGGAATATTCTTGGCTTCAATTTTACTAAAAGAGATGCGCTATCTAGTTTATATAAGATATCTATGCTTGTTCCCAGTTGTTGTAACAAGTTTGGAACAAGCTGTTAACAACTTGTAACAAGCTTGATGGCATTATCAGACTTCTTACAAGGTTGTTCTAACAAGTCCGATACAGTCATGATATAACAAGAATGTTACAAGGTTGACCATAGACTTTCCAAAGTCCTTTCCAGACCCTTTATGGCCTAGGTTGACCACACAAGGTTGTAACAATATTGTTATATCGTGACTGTATCGGACTTGTTGACAACCTTGCAACAAGTCTGATAATGCCATGCGGCTTGTTACAAGCTGTTAACAGCTTGTTCCAAACTTGTCGACAACTTGGGAGAAGCAGTGCGAACACAACTTGTTGACGGCTTGTTGGCAGACTTGCTGCAAGATATGAGATTTTTTCAACACGTTTTCCTTGACAAAGTTTTGTTGCACACGCGTAAAAACGCACACGTTAATTGTAACAAACCTGCAGCAGACTTGTAGCAATGCTGTTCCAACAACTTGTCAACAGGATGTGTTCGCACTGCTTGTTCCCAGCTTGTTGACAAATTGTCAACGGCTTGTGACAACTTGCTACAAGGTTGCTGAGCTCAACACTCAACAGACTTGTTACAAGTTGTTCCAACAACTTTTTATCGTCCTGCAATTCGACAATTTGTCAACAAGTTGTGAGTGGTAACCTTGTAGCAACTTGATGAAATAACAGCATTGTTACAACTTGTTGACAAACTTGCTACAAGCCTGTTGCGAACACATCTTGTTGACAAGTTGTGAGATTTTTACATCTGTAAGTGAATCAAACCTCTATGGTTTTGACCTAATCACATGATAGCTACATTTCAAGCCTGATTATAATCATTATATTCTGTTACAATATAATTATAATACTCTGTTTATAAATTAAACAGCAGTATGAACATCGGGGAGCCAAATAACCACCTTCTAATACTGAAATAATCTGTAAACTTATTCTTGACAAAATTTCATTCAAAATCAGCTATAACCACATAAATTCCATTGTAGTTTGGGCTGTTTCTGCAAATAAATTATTTAGAAATATATTTTGTGCTCAAGACAGACGTTTTGAAGAGCATGTTTTAAGTTTGAAACGGGTTATTATTTATACATGCAGCGGTTTTGTCTAAAGGCGTATACCGTATATTTTTATACACAATTTGTGAATAATAAATTATCAAAATTTGAGAATAAAAATTCTCATATTTAACTGTTGCAAATAGTTGAAAAATGTAACAATTTATGCGATGGAATAAAAATTTATAGCTATTTATTTTCACATGAAACAAACATTTATACAATATGGAATTAACATAACATAAAATGCATCGTAATGTATGCGATATCAGTACCCGTTACAAAGTTAGGAAAGGACATTCAAACAAAGTCGGAAAATATAAATGTATTAAAAAATCACAGATATTTTGCTTCGGTGTTTAAATTTTAAGCAGCAGACATTCGTTGTGTGTTAAGCCAAATATAAGAGCAACGAGTTATTATGTTCTAGCCTTTGTTCAACGGGCTTCCCGCTAACACGGACAAAGCGGGGACATTTTTTAGCCAGCAGCGCAGCGAGATTCAGTGTACAAACGCTTGCGAGTCCTGCCCTTGTGAGGATCTGTGTTCAACCCGCTTCTGTTCGAGAAATAAGTTTTAAAATATTTTCCAAAAATGTCGAAGCAGGCAAGTTTAGACAAAGTTCGCGATACTTTGGTAAAACTGAAAGAAAACATCGACACCGCTGAAGATCGATATCACGACGCAAAAGCATCGAATCTCGAAGCAGTTGACAGGTATGAATTTATGTTTTGCAACACAAGCGATCGTTACCATCCAATTTTCAGTACTTTCTTATGTGAATCAAGTTCGTATTATACACATATGATTATATACGTTATACTGGAATTCTATTTGTTGCCAATTTCTGCAAAACGAACATTAAGGATTTAAAGGTGGATTTCCACTACACAATTTTTTCCTAAAACTGTCGCACGCAACCTGCTTACAACTTAAGTTGCGCTGTGTAAATCAAACGCACAACCCACCTACAACAACGTGGGCAAGTTCTGTGCTTGATTTACACAGTACAACTCAAGTTGTAAGCAGGTTTGCATGCGACAGTTTTTGACAGAAGTTGTGTTAGTATATATGGTGTCCATGTTGGTCCCACCTTGTGCATTCCATTAGAACATTTTTGGGTTTGTTTGAATATTTACAAGCTGTCTCAAAAAATGTAATAGGCTGTGTTCCATATATATTCGATCTTACACAACTAATTATTTTAGTGGGAATCGGAAATTCAATCTATGAGATTGCATTTTGACACTAAGGTTACTAAAATTGATCTAGTAGTAAAACCATGCAATGTTACGCTGTTCAAAATAAAGTCTGGTCACCCAATGGACCATTGAAATCTTGAATCGGTTGTGTCGGGTGATTAATAAGTTTGAAGACCCCTTACTTCAACAGCCACCACACCGGTTCTACTTGACCAACTGTAATAAATTTTAGTGTCAAAATTCTTCTCTTGATTAAATTTTCGACGGAACATAGCTATTGCATTTTTTGGGACACTTGTAAATTACTTTTATTGTTTAAAATAATGTTTCCTGATCGGTTGGGTCACCTTCAATTTGGATTGGACAAGGATGCCCAGCCAGGCCAGTGGCAGTAATTATTAATGGAGCTATACTGTACGAGGTACCGCACACCTACCGCCCCCTCCGAAGATTTAGAACTCAAAGTAAAACGTCAAAAATTACAGGATTAATAAAGTGCTCCCAAAATCGGAATTAAAAATTCATGTGGTAAAACAAATTGACTGACTAGGTTGGAAAAAGCAGAAGAGGAACAGGAAAGTTACAGACGTCGTATTAAGCTTTTGGAATTTGATTTTGAGAAAGCTAAGAAGACCTTGGCAGAAAAACAGGAACGTTTAGCACATCTTGAAGGTGGGAGTCTCTATATTCAATGTTTTGCTTAAAGGGGAATTAAATGGCAATTTTCTCATTTGAAAGAACTTTTAAGACTATACATAATACTCTTTTAACATTTTTTTTTCATATCTTGCTCACTTCTACAAATATTTTGATTGAAAGGATTGAACTGTCGGCCATCTTCAATTTTATACTGTAAATATGCATGTCACGTCACAACAGGGGTCACGCAATATTTTTATCTAGACAACCACTAATCATTTTGCACTCAAAACTATACTCTGTCTGCCCTTCGAAATATCAAGATCACTCAAAACCTTTAAAAAATCTACCAATCAATATTTGGTCAGCAACGGATACTTTTATATGGTTAATCCCTGTTGTGACGTCACCAAAACTACCGTTAATGAGATCAAAAATGCATCCAAGATGGCGGACATCTCATGACTTCAAGTGGAAATATTTCAATAACCGAAGCAAGATATGAAAAATTGGTAAAAGAAGTTAATATATAGTTTCAAAAGTTCTTTCAAATGGGAAAAGAAAAATTTATATTGTCATTTCCCTTTAAAAGGTTGCTTGATAGAAAAAATCATGTATTTCGACAGCTTATTTCAGCATGGAAGAAACATAATATGGAATGAAGATGTTCCAGTCGAGTTGGTGATAATAGACAGATTTAGATCGAGAACGCGGACGTCAAAGACGACGTGAAAATGGCGTCAAAATGGCGTGGCATATCCATACATGGGCACAACACGCAATTTTCACGTCGTCTTTGAAATCGGAACTGGGTCTAGTTCCTTCGATATCAATGTATTCCAAGATATGACATTTTTGTGTGTGTTGGACAAGTATCCCCAAATGCCGCCGGTTCGATTCCCACCGTGGCCAAGCTAACTTTTCAGCTTGCCCGGTGTGGATGCACACTCAGAGTAACATCACAAACATCATATTCACCCGAGTACACATAACACCAGCACATACAAAAAAACAAGATCAACCCGTAAAACTTCCGACCCTAGTCTACTCTACTTTCAACCTAAAAAAGATGTATAACTATAACTTTTCAACGACCATTCTTCTCACGTACGTGCAGAGTTTGGAACAACCTACCCGACGAAATACGCCGCATGGATACATTTTTATTACGCTTTAGAAGCTTGCTAAAAGAGCATTATTTGACAGCATCTCAAACAATTTTCGATTCCGATGATCCAAGCTAAGGACATGGAAATCTGCATGTGCATGTGTCTGAAATGCAATTCAGCACGCACACTTAGGACCTCCACTTCATGTTGTAGTTAGTGCAGGTATTCTCTCACTTATCGGGACCACAGTAATTGGCTATATATATATATATATATATATATATATATATATATATATATATATATATATATATATATATATATATATATATATATATATATATATATGCGACAAGAACGCCATTCAACCTAATACGCATGATCTCTGCATGTCACAGATTTAAAT